AAGTCCATATCAATTGAATCTATTACAATATAATGAACACAATCAATAAAACAATTTAAATACATAGATGTCATTATAAAAACAAACAATTTGCATACCTTAAGTTAATTTAAAAATAAAAATAACAAAAATCAAATAAATATAAATTGATCAATCAATATAAATTGAGTATCTTGAACAAGACATACTTGATCAACGATAAAAACGATACTGAGTCAAAAACAAACGATTGAATTCGAAGAGTAACACAACTCCCTCTGTATATTAAATTTGTCAAGTATGGGAATGTATGTGTCATGCAAAGATTCAGTGTCCCTCATCAAATTCAGACCGTTCTCCTGTTTTTTAATGTGTAACATTTCGGAGGTTAGACGTTTATAATAGTTCTGTTCTATGTCTAATATTTTAACTGAATTCCAGTCAAAACGTTTTGACACATATCTGAGCACATTTATTTAAATGCACATCATCCTGCACTGGCTCTATATAGCCTTAGAATTTTAATATTTTGATATTTATTATGGTTTAAAACTAGTAATAAATTTCCACGGTAGTAAGAACCGATCGCTGGATGTGTTTTGCAAATATATATATAACAATTTCAAGTTAAATTGTTATATTATTACCTATATAAAAATTATATTAACATAAAAAATAAATAATAACTTCAAAATAGAATTTCTTTTTTTGTCTTTTATTAAAATTTTTTAAAAATATTACAAGCAGCAGATACAATCATAAAGACAAGTATGATTAAAAAAAGATTAATACATAAGATTAATTTAAAAAAATTATAGTGACCACCATTGCTCGTCTAAAGAATGTAAAAATAACAATCTTGATAAAATGTTCCCCTTCAATTTATTTTGTTGCTGCGTCAAAATCAAGCCAGCTTTTGAAAAAAGCTTTTAAGAAAGAACAGATGATCCCACTACGGTTAAATATTTAAATGCTATTTTCGATAAATATACATATGTAGAACTCATTTCTTTCCACATCTCTAAAGAATTATCTCCAAGTCGACTAACAGGTGCTCTCATATAAAGAGTGATTTCTGACGGCATATTTTCAGAAACTAAATCGTTTGCTTTTGCTTTATTCCAGGTATTTTGAACGAGCTTATGATGATCGCTCCATAAAGAAAATTCGCTTGAGCCTAGAAAAAGAATAATATAATTGTTAATTATAACAGTTGTACGATGTATTACGTTAGGTTAGGTTAGGTTAGAGGTTAGGTTAACTTAGGTTAGGTTACTATAGTCATCCCAGGCGACGGTTTCCCACCTTGACGTGGTGTCCGGGCTTGAGAACCGTGATGATCCGAGGGGCTATACCGGCGGGACTTCGGTCCTGGCAGGTTCTACCTTGCCGGACAGGCCTTCGGGGAGCGGTCAGACTAAAAGGAAACCAGTAGCTTTGCCTCTACAATGAGAGGCTCGAGTAGGATAAACAGGGATACCGATCCCTGTGGGATACTTGTGGGAATGAGCGGGCCAAAGCATCCGCGCCACTTTGTGCGCGCATGCAGCGGTCCAACATCCCCTCGGGTTCGCGCGTATATTCGTCCGGGTAAATGGGTGATGCATGGCTGACGGTTTTGTCCCGATGTCTATGCTATCTCACCGACAGAGGTCGAGCCTTCCCCTCGTATAAAAACGCGACAGGCTGTCGCGGAGTTTAGAGGCCGCGAGGGGTGGGTGGTAGGGGGGTACGGCAACGTGCCCAGGGACCGTCTCTCTCCCCTGCAAAATAATAAGAGAGCATAGGGCTGGGAACGGTACGTTCTCAGGGGTCCGTCCTCTACCCTGCAAAATAATTAAAGGGTCGACACTTGAGGGGAGCTACGTGCTCAGGCGGCAACCTTTCGCCTGCAAAATAATAGAAGGGTCAGGCGTCGTTCCTTCCTCTTGCTAAATAATCGAAGGTCTAGGGTGGGGACTAGGTTACGTGCCCAGGCGTCGTTACTCCCGCCTGCAAAACAATAGGAGCCGCGTGGGTCCGGCGTTGAGTGGACAGGTGCATGCATGAGAGTGTGTGTGTGCGTGTCACTTAGCTCGCCTCTGCGATGTGAGGCGCCGGGTAGGTGTGTGTGTGGGTGTGCGGGGGACTTGTCCCCGCGCACACCGGGGCGCGGATACCCTGGGATACCGATCCCTGTGGACGGGGGTGTTCTTCCGGGCCAATGCATCCGCGCGCCAAGGCGCGCGCATGCGGATAGACCGGCACCCCCCTCGCGATTGCAAGTGGGTGGGCCCGCGTGGGTTTTAACGGGGTGGTTCTCCTTTTTCCCTTAGCTCTGGCCTCTCTATGAGAGGCCCCGGGTAGGTAGGGCGTGCGCGGGTGACCGGTTGCCTGCGCAGGGCGCGATACCCAGGGATACCGATCCCCGAGGGCGGAATGTTCCGGACCAATGCGTGCGTGCACGCGGAAGGACCGGCATTCCAACGGGCGTTATCGCGGATAGAATCGGGTAGGCAGGGGATGCATGGCTGACGGACAAGTCCCGATGTCTATGCTATCTCACCAACAGGGGTCTGCCTTCCCCCTCGTATAAAAACACGGATGCAGGGACACGGGCAGGGAGGAAGTGGATCGGCACGCAAATCGGGCCTTCGGGCCTTCAGGTGCGTGATGCCACACACCTGCCACCAGGGGTCTGCTTCCCCCCAGGTTAAAAACTCGGAAGCAGGGACACGGGTAGCGGCGGTGGATCGGCACGGAAGTCGGGCGCGTGGTGCCACATACCGACCAACAGGGGTCTGGCTTCCCCTCGTATAAAAACACGAAGGCAGGGACACGGGTAGAGGTCAAGCCGTCTTGGCCACGACAGGGATCCGGCTCACCCTGTATAAATATTCGGAGTACGGTCGGGTCGGAGGTGCTTCCGCAGCATGGCAAAGCATCTCCGAAGAAAATGGCGCTGCTTGACCGGTGGCAGTACCCATCAGTCGGCTTTCAGTCTGGCCCTAAGCCGGGGTAGCCCTCTGCGGACTGGCTGCTCTTGCTGTGGTCGGGCGCTCCTCCCATGCCCCGCCGGGTGTGGGGAGTTGCCCCGTGTAGGGGGTTCCCCTGGCTGTGGTGCGGGCGGTGCAGTGCGGTGCGGCTGGGACCCGCTGGAGTCGGGGGCTGCGCTGCGCTGTGCTGCTCGTTCGCGCGGCCGGGGTGCCTTTCGCGGGGGTCTGTCGGCTGGGAGAGGGGTTGTCGCTACCACAGGCTTTTGCCTAGCGGGGGTTCCACATGACCCTGCTATAAAACAATCGCATGTGGCTCGCGGNGGTAGGTTAAGGTGCCAGGGGTCTCGATAACAGTGCAATCGGGACCTGATTGGTATGGGGGTGCCTCCTTTCCGGCGGGCGAGGTAGATCGCAAGGAGGCTCAAGGAGGCGAGAAATCTGGACGCTCCCATAACTGGTGGCCCCGGGTGGGGCTTGCCGGAGGGGAAAAAGGAGGACTCTTAAGCCCATTTTTATCCTGGGAGTGGTACACCACTGTGACGTGGTTCCCAGGCTTGTGTACCGTGATGATCTGAGGGGCTATGCCGGCGGGAACTTTGGTTCCTGGCAGGGTCTCCCTTGCCGGACATGTCCTCAGTGAGCGGTCAGACTAAGAGTGTACCTAGAGGAAGAAAAACCCTGATTCCAAACCCGGGCAGGACGGGCCCGTTACCCTTGGTTGGGAACCGTCCTAGGAGAAGGACACTCCGAAATTAAACCAAACTTTAGTATTATATGGGATGTTGAAACTTAAGGAGAATGACGTACCGCAGCAGGTAGACAGGACCGCCAGCTGCCGGCGAGAGGGAGTTACCGTCTCGGACTCTCTCCCGTCGTCATCCAACGACGGGCTCTGCGTCGCGTGCCCCGCAGGGGCGGCGCAGGATAATGCATCTGCGAAGGCTGGTGGTGTAGACCCACCAGTGGGGAGAAGTGCCAGAGGAGTCGTTCCGGGTCACGCAGCAGATGGCCTATTGGACCGCTGATTGATACGGACGGCTCAGAGGAAAAAAGCGGCGGAGGCAATCTTCAACTTGCCTCCAGGGATCAGAAACCGGGTCCTTTGCGCAGTGGCGCGGAGTTACGGGAGGATCCCGCCGCTAAACAACTGCCGCAGGACGACTCCGACATGGAGGTCAAAGTCGCCTCTGTGGGCAGAGGAGGGGCCCGTCAGGCAATTAAGCTCCAAGATCCCCCCTCTTCCTGTGAAGAGGGATAAGATATCCCAGGGGGATAAGAGGAAGCGAGGGAGAGGAAGCGAGGCCTACATATTCCCCCCACCACCGGGGAATATGTAGGCCTCGCGGAGGCCAAGAGGAAACTAAACGAGGAGGAGGAGAGGGAACTGGAGCTGCGCGCAGAGCGCGAGCTCGCGGAGGACTTTGAGTCCATTCGGCCGACCACCCGGTCGTCGGGCCCCGCGTCCCTCCCTCCTTCTTAGCCCGAACCGGTTTCACTCCGGGGTTTGCTGCCGACCCCGGATATTATCACGCGGGACATGCCGACGTCCCAGATTGTCCAACAATCGGGCAAACTGGCGGCGTCGGTGATTAGGATGGCCGCGACCTCCAAGAGGCTTAAGGGTACTTACATTAAGTACCTCAAGGAGGCCGCGGTCAACATGGAGGAGGCCGTCCGCGTCCTCTCCAGCCGTATGGACATTGAAAGTGAAGTCCAGCGGCTGGAGGGGCTGAACCGTCGTTTGGACGGCGAGATGGCCGAGCTACGAGGCACGGCTCCTCCCTGAGGACCGATAGAGACGCTGTCCAGGCGAAACTGGACAGCGTCTCTAGGAAAAACCTCGTCTTGAAGCGTGAGGTGGACGCGCTTCACGACAAGTTGAAGGATCTGCGGCGGGGGCTCACAGCAATAGGTTTCGCTAAGCTCAAGGCCTCCGCCGCACCTCCCGAGAAAGACGCTTCACCTCCACTTCCGCAGCGAGAGGCCAGACCGCGACGACCTAAGGACCGGTCGCGGCCCTCCCGTAGTTCAAGTCCGGTGCGGGAGATGGACATCTCTCCCCCTCCAAGCACGGCGAGAGAAAGAAGTAAGGAGGCGACAGCACCCCTGCCGGATACTGGCACCCAGCGGGACGAAGAGCACCCTGCGGTGAAGCCGGTAGAGCTCAAGGATATTGAGTCTCTGCTCAAGGCCCATCGCAAGGAAACGGACAGGCAGATGGCTGAAAAGCTGTCTGTCTTTTACGAACAGGTCGTCCATTGCCTGTCCATTCGTCCTCCCCTGCGGGGTCAACCGCAGGGAAGGACAGATGTAGATGCCACGGCAGAGGCGGGATGCAGCGGCCTGGCTGCAACCAGTGCAGCAAACTCGCCTGCACCTCCGTCCTCTGCCCCAGCAACTTCCGCAGAGCCCAGTACGGGTCTGCGGAAGAAGAAAAAAAAGAAGAGGAAGAGCAAGAAGAGAGACGGCGGCGGATCCGGGCCGGGAGATAAGGAGGCGGCCAAGGCCGCATCCCAGGCCCCCAAACCCGCGCTGCCCGCTTCCCTGCCATCATCCTCCCAACCTTCCGCTCCCTCCACCTCAAAGGACACCTGGTCTCAAGTGGTGGAGCGGAAGAAAAGGAAGCAGAAGCCGGCCCCCCAAACCCCCGCCTCGGCCAAGTCCGGTGGCACCAGAGGGGGAAAAGGACCGACCAAACCGGGAGCGGGTGCGGCCAAGGCCACCCCTCCCAAGCTGAAGCTGGGAAGACCACCCCGCTCCGCGGCGGTGGTGCTCTCAGCCCCGGAGAGGGCAGCGGAAGGCTTCTTGGCGGAGGTCTTGAAATACGTCCGAGAGAGGGTGTCTCTCGAGCCCCTCGGTATTCAATCTAATCCTAAAGGTCCCTAGTGAGAATAGCGACACCAAGGCGGAGGCGTTGTACAACGCGATGCTTCCCTTGGTGTCCGAGAAGGGGGGACGACTCGCGAGACCAACGAAAACCGTTGACTTACGTGTCCGAGGTCTCGACGAGTCGATCTCCCCTGAGGAGATCAAAGAAGCTGTGGCGTCCGCCGGGGGCTGCCGGTCGACCGAGGTTAAGGTCGGCCAACCTCGTGCCTCCCCCGGTGGGCTGTCCACAGCATGGGTGCAGTGCCCACTGACCGCGGCCCGAAAGGTTGTCGAGGCCGGGACGCTCAGGGTCGGCTGGGTACGTGCACCCATAGAGGTACTGGAGAGGCGGGCACGTGATGGCCGCGTGCACTTTTACCGCGCCGGAAGAAGACAGAAAGGGCCGCTGCTTCAATTGTGGCGACCGGGGACATAGGGTGTCAACGTGCACGTCGGCACTCAAGTGCCCCTTATGCGCGGATCTTGGGCGTCCCGCAAACCACCGCCTGGGAAGCAGAGCATGCGCTCCTGCCCCCGGCAAGGGTAAACGGGAGCCCAAAACTACACAGAGGAGTGGCATCCAGTCCACTCCTCAGGAAGAAGTACCGGCCGCTGTACCAACAACTGCAGCGTCCTCCAGTGAGGGGATTGCACCTCCCTCCTCTCCTGAGAGCAGGGCCCTGGAGGAGGATGTAATGGACACTACATAATGTCCTTACTTCTCCAGGGCAATCTAAATCACGCCCGCGAGGCTCAGGACCTCCTGGTGCATAGCCTCGCGGAGCTAGATGGATGCCTTGCGGTGGCGGTCGAGCCTTACTCCGTCCCAGACCACTTGTCGTGGCTGGGGTCAAGGGACGGCTCGGTCGCCTTACATTTTCGGTGGGGACATGCGTCCACCTTTTTCTCCCCCCTCAAAAGGGGAGAGGGGTTTGTCGCATGCGAATGGGGGGAACTGGCGATCGTGGGGTGTTACTTCTCCCCCACGAGGCCCTTCCACGAATTTGAGGAGTTCTTGAACGGGCTGGAGCGGGTGATACGCCGCCTCCAGCCCCGTCCTTTACTGGTCCTGGGGGACTTTAACGCCAAGTCGGTGACTTGGGGTTCCCCCAGGACCGATGTACGTGGAAGAGCCCTCGAAGAATGCATGGCGGCCTGCGGCTTTGCCACAGTCAATGAGGGCACGCAACACACGTGCGCGAGGCGCAACGGGGGATCTATCGTCGATGTGACTTTTGCTTCCCCGTCCGCCATTGCACGTGTGTCCGAGTGGAAGGTCAGGGACGATCTGGAGACTCTCTCCGATCATCGTTACATTACAATGAAGGTCTCTGAGCTCCCTGGCCCCCTTCGGGGTTGCCACGAGGAGAGACGACACCCCCGCTCCCAAGGGTGGGTCCTTAGAAAGCTGAACCCAAGTATCCTGTCCGCCGCTGCTCAGGCCGCGGCCTGGCCAAGTCCACCGGCCGGGCCGCGCAACCTCCGAGCGGTGCTCCGGTGGTCCCGCGAGACGTTGGTCATGATCTGCGACGCGGCCATGCCACGTTCTCGCGGGCCACCAAGTCGGAGGTCCGTGTACTGGTGGTCGGAGGAAATAGCCGATCTCCGGAGGGCGAGCATTCGAGCCCACCATCGGTACACACATGCCCGTCGCCGACTCCATCGTGGCGACGAGGCAATCCGAGCAGCGAAGGCGGCCTACGAGGGCTATCGCATCGCGCGTAAAGCCCTCAAAGTCGCCATTAAGAAGACAAAGTCTTGAGCGTGGCAGGAGCTCCTCGAGGCAATCGACGCGGATCCATGGGGCCGCCCATACCGCTTGGTAATGGGCAAATTACGCCCTTGGACCCCGCCGGTCACGGAGAGCCTGGACCCCCAGTTGTTGGAGAGGGTGGTCTCGACTCTTTTCCCCGGCGGGAGAGGCACTTGGCCTTCCCAGCAGCCGGAGGTGGACCACCCGGTTGAGTGGTCCAACGAACTGGGGGTCACAGAAGAGGAGTTCCGCCGGGCCGTCCGTCGGATGACGCGGAAGAATACCGCCCCCGGTCCCGACGGCGTGCTTGGCAAAGTATTGGGCTTTGCCTTCGAACAGGGTCCCTTGGGAGAGCGCCTCAGACAGATCCTGACAGACTGCCTGAGGACCAGCTGGTTCCCCCCAGATTGGAAGCAAGCCAACCTGGTTTTGCTCCACAAAGGAGGAAGGCCTGCGGACTCGCCATCCGCGTACCGGCCGATTTGTTTACTCGACGAGGCGGGCAAGCTCCTGGAGCGCATTGTTGCCAACCGCCTCGTCGAGCACCTGTCACGGGAGGGTCCCGACCTGGCCGACTGTCAGTACGGATTCCGTAGGGGACGCTCAACGGTGGACGCCATGTTCCACCTTAAGTCCCTCACGGAGGCGTCGACCAGGCAGGGGAGGAGGGCGTTGGCAGTGTCTCTCGATATCTCCAACGCCTTCAATTCCCTCCCCTGGGACAGTATAGGGTGGGCTCTGGAACATCATAGAGTCCCACCCTATCTGAGTAGGCTCCTCGGAGACTACTTCCGTGGCAGGGAGATTAGGTATACCGGCCGGTACGGATCACTGCAACGAAGGAGGATGTACCGCGGGGTTCCACAGGGGTCAGTTCTCGGCCCGCTGCTGTGGAACCTCAGGTACAATGCGGTGATCCAGGCCGCGCTCCCCAGAGAACTATCAGTCATCTGCGACGCAGATGACACTTTGATAGTTGCCTCTAGGGACGAATGGACCAAAACCAGGTTGCTTGCAGAGGTTGGGACGAATTGCGTCGTTGACCGCATCGAGAGACTGGGCCTTAAAGTGGCCGTCCACAAAACGGAAGCCATGTGGTTTTTCAACCACTTCCGTGGACGGCCCCCAGCGCTCAGTCTCTCCGTAAGTGAAGCACGGGTTGAGGTAGGTACGACTATTAAGTACCTTGGTCTTTACCTCGACCCGAAGTGGCGCTTCGACAAGCACTTTGCTCGCCTGGCCCCCCGTGTTCGGAAGGTCGCCAACGCCCTGGCGCGTATTCAACCGAACCTTGGGGGACCGAAGCATAAAGCTCGCCGTCTTTACGCCAACGTGGTCCACTCGGTGGCCCTATATGGGGCACCGTTGTGGGCGGATGCCGCTTCGAGGGCAGGAGCGCGGAGTAAGTTTGCATTGCTCCGCGCTTCCCAACGAGTAGCAGCTCTTCGCGTGATATGCGGCTTCCGTACGGTGGCGAGAGAGACGGCGGGCGTACTGGCGGGGATGCCTCCTCTTGCCCTTCTTGCTGGCGTGTACTCGGCGAGATATTCTCGCCGAGTCGAACTCCAGCGGGAGGGACTTACAGGGGATGCTTTGCAGCAGGCCCTCGTCAGGTCGGAGCGCCAAGCCCGGCGACAACTGCTCCTTAGTTGGGAGCAGCTCCTGAACGAGCCAGACGTGGACGCTCAGGAAGTCGTCCGGGTCGTCCGACCCCACTTACAAGTGTGGTTGGACAACGGGGTCGGACGCCTCACTTACCGTGTGACGCAGGTGCTTACCGGGCATGGCTGCTTCGGTGAGTACCTGTGTCGCATCGGACGCAAGTCAACGACGCAATGTCACGCGTGCGGGGCGGCCAGCGACTCGGTGGAGCACACCGTGGAAAAGTGTTCACGGTGGGCTCCGGAGCGCCGAGAACTGGTCGCCAAAATAGGAGAAGACCTCTCCCTGGAGGGCCTGTTACGGGCGTTGGCCTCCAGGAAGAGAGACGAGTGGGAAGCGGTTGTCTCCTTCTGCTCCGCGGTGATGGAGCAGAAGGAGGCAGCCGAACGAAAGAAGGAGAGACTACCTTTCCCTCTGGGAAGACCCCAAAGACGTGCGCGAGCGGGTGACGGGGCCCCCGCTTCCCGCGTACGTCCTAGGAATTGTGGCATGCCCCCCATGTGACAATAAGTTTCCCCTTCCTCTCACTGAGAAGGAATGGGGAGATTTAATTATAACGGAGCGGTGGGCGTTGAGAGGAGCCGGTGCCTCTCGTTAGCCCACCGTTCCCGGGGATGCGTCTTTGACGCGCGAGCAAGCGGGCGGCGGCTGTTATTCCCGTGGTGGTACCGTCTACCACGGTTGTGTGTTTTTATTCAGTAGCCGCCGCGGGGCCGTGACGAGTCGAGGTGGGGGTCTCGGCTCGTCCTGCACGCGGTCTAAGAGATGGGGTGTCACCACGGTGTGTGTCCCGAGGTGACACCAAGAACAAGGACGAAGCACCCAATGCTCGGAGAGGAGGTATGAAGAAGAACTTTTCTCTGCTATTCTCCTCCCCACAGCAGTAAACAGCTCCAGGGGGGATCCGCGCGCATCCTTACAATGGAATCCCGGGTCCCTCCCTACCAAGAGCAGGGTAGACACACCATGGGAGTTTTAGTGGGTACACCTCCTCTNGCTCGAGGGTGAGAGGAGGGATTCCCACATAACCCTGACCTTTCCCCCAGGGTCAGGGTATCCATAAAGGATTTCTCCCATGTAAAAAAAAAAAAAAAAAAAAAAGGTTACTATAGTCATAACGCAGTAAGAATAAACTTACTTGAGTGATCCGAGTCGGATGCTGATTCTGTAAATGATACATTGTTCAAATGAGTTATACTTTTTGTTATGAGATTTTTTAAAACAGTTTGTGCTTTAAAACATGCTAGTATATCTTTAAAATGCAGTTTTTTAAAGCAGGGATCTAAAAGTGTTGACAACGCTAAAATCTGTACATGTTCTATGTGATCAAAACGTGTTTTAATCTCGTACAACACAAATCTTCTTTTAGTTGAATTCCTTCTACATGTTTAGGACATAATTTGTTTATTTTACTCTGCAAACAGCGAACCATAGGAATTATTATGCTACTTGTAACATATTCTTCAACACATATTTGTTTTGTCGCTGTTTTTAAAGGTTTTAATATATTGCATATTTCTGTTAATATTTCAATTTCTTTAGCAGTAATCATAAGTGGTGCTTCTACATGACGATTCACGATATCATTTACTATTCGACGAAG